GTGTTTTTATGTTAGCAGTGTATCTTTGTGCCTAAATTGGATAAAATCGGGCGAAAAATTGCCTTAGCGCCCATATAACTGATATTCAGGATTTTGAAACGTCCGGCTGTCTTTACTCCCATATATGCGAGATGTGTTCAAAGGAAAAGGTGAATTTTGAATTTATTTGAAAAGTACTTATTTATTCATCAATATCTATTTTGTCCCATTCAAAGTAATCCCTGAATCGAATATAATACCCTTTGCCTACGCTTTTTCCAATGTTTTCTTGTGGACGTGATCGCTCCTCCAGGATGCTCATCATCATTAACATCTTCCCGGCCTACTGTAAAGCGTTTGTACCACTTATAAACATTTTTTTGAGACAAAGTAGACTAGCCTAATGCCACAGTCAACATTTCCAGGGACTTGGAATTGGAACGTGACTAACCTTTTTTGTTGTCAAAAACAAGTTAATAATCAAAATTGGCTCCTAATGCAAGTAAATGATAAACATACATATGTGTTCGATTATACAATAACAAAAACAAAAATTTCAATAATCGAATGTACACAGCCACAATTTCAGCGCCAGTTATTTATACTTGTAAAAATAACTTTTGTATATTTTCATACTACAACTAATTCTAATGAAAACATTGTAATTGCTGAAAGAGAGTGGTCAAATTACTGTTAGCATCTAATCACAATTACACCGTGACTATTATTATTATTTCGATTATCCTGATCTTCTTATTTAGTTTTTGTTGTTGTAGCTGCAGCGAATATGCGTCAATAAGTTTTGAGTTGTCATGTTTCTTATTTTCTTGATTTGCGTTAACAGCATCTGCATTTAAAGGTCTACATTCTAGCTTTCAAGTAATTACATTTTGTTTTATTATCACTGAGTTACGATTTAAGTTAGATATTAAGACTGGTTCACAAGCTCCTACAGATGGATACAAACCCTCATACTTGAACAACAAACACATCTGCTGAGACTACAAATTCAGATTGCAGTTAGGTCAACTGAAACTAAAAGCATGAGATCCAAGATGTTCCAACTTTAGACTTACGAATACTGGACTGTCCAAAAATAAGTCTACCTTTCAGATTACTTCGACCATTGACGCAAAATTTTTATACTGACCACATCGATGCTATTGAACAATGACCGCTTAGGAACCCCAAAAGGACTTCTTTCGATCTACTCTAAGCCCAAAGAACCTGGCAACATCGCAACTGCTTATGGCTGAGCAGAGCATAATTAAAATCCGCTCATATATTATTGCTTTTTTTTCTATCTTAGATTTGCATAATTTTGAAAAAAAAATTCCGGTTCCATACTCAACCTTTTCATCGTTCTTTTCTCTCTAATTCGGCAACAACTTCCTAATGCTGTAAAGTGGAAAAAAAAAGTTGAGCAAATTGAGTTTCTTTTGAAGCAATTTCTGACACTTCTTATTCTTGCTCATTAATAAAATGAATATAACTATATATAAATTATATTTATATGTAAAAAGTAATTCCATTATAATTACAAGCCATTAATATAAGACGGAATTTGTTATGAATTTAAGAGTGTGCTTAATAAACATCAGCACGCCCTTACAAATTATCCCTTTCATAAATGAAACACAGCATTTTACAGCACAATAAGACACCAGAAGATAACGAAGAACATTCAATAATAAAAGAGAAAGGCGGAAATAACATCAAGAATTCATAAAATGCCAACATGTCACTTGATCCAACGTTTATGAGAAATGTTCAACAATTTTATCCACCAGCATTACGTGTTCTTGAGTTTGACCTTAAATCGCTCTCCACACCGCTCTCCATATTTGTGCCTCTTCGCTGCACCGGCAACATGACTGGCAAATGACGGCAACATAGTTTGGAGTGTGGGTATCAAGCGGGCAAATGCTCATTGATAAGGGTGGGGTTTGATGAAAACATCAATGCCGTAATAAAGGACGAAGAAATTTCTTGGCATCACATAGCATCGCATCGCATTCCAAACGACTTCATCATCATCAGCAACGTCAACGTCACCGGCGCAAGTAGTGCATACTCCGAAACAGCAAAGCAATTGTCGGCGGTTCCGCCTCCGCCTTACATAGCTGGGACTGTGAATGGCTGTTCAAAGGAATACATTTCCATACACGCTAATACGACTTGTCATTACTTTGTGCTTGAGATCATTACACGTTTCACACCGATTAATATGGTATTTAAGCAAAATTATATATTAATGGGTATTGGAAGTGTGTGTGTGTGTGTGGCATAAGAATGAGTGTGGTGTCAATATACATACCATCTTCCTTCATGCATAAAATTTCCGTTCTGGCTTATGTATGTACGTGCGCACAGAAATATTCGCGTTCATTAATGGCTTGCTTTTGCACAAGTTTTTGATGGATTGCTCGGAATGTGTTGTAATATGTGTGTATGTGTTTACAGCTCCAGATTGATTAAACATCATATGCTTTTCAATACCACATACTTATGTACTTCTTATGTATCTATATATATAGGTATTACTATTAGATACATACTTGTGTAGAGTACAATAACATTTTTCCATTTTGTATGAACTCAGCTGAGAGATATGTATGTAGTTACATGCATTTTGGAGATTTTAAATTTACCTGTTTTATAATTAAATTGTAATAAGGAATTTATTAGCTTGTAAATATACAGCTATGAACATATAAATGGCACAAAATCTGATTTCATATATGTATATGCTACTCGCAACATGTTGCTATAGAGTATACTAGTTTTGTTCACCTAACCGTAGTTGGGATAGATAATTAGGTATGTATGTATAAATGATCAGAATGACTAGAGTGGTATTCCGAATGGAATTTTGAGTGACCGTACGACCGTCTGTCCATCCGTGCAAACGATAACTTGAGTAAACATTGAGATATGTTGATTAAACTTGGTACATATATTCGAAGAAACCCAAGGAATGTACCCTAGTATGGGCGGAATCGGCCCACTGCCATGCCCACAAAACGCTCTTAATCAAAAAATAGCCACAACTAAGCTTTTAAAAGCGAGCGTGGCCCCCCCTCTAATAAGTTTAATGTACATATCGCCCAAACCATTTAAACTTTAATAACAAGTTTGCTCAGACCAAATCTTTTGGCATCCTACCCACTCGGTGAAAATGGGTAAATTCGATTTTTAACCCCGCCTACTCCCCATATAACGGTTTTGTTATAAATTACTCAAATTGCGATAAATCTACAAACAAATGCGCCAGAAATATAAAATTTTACGAGACGGCTTTATAGGAGCCGGTATCAAATTTGGATGATGGGAGTGGCACAGCTCTTTGGGTGAAAACACATATCACGGAACCTCTTCGACCGCTTTCAACCGAATTCGGTAGGTAATATTATTCTGACATTCCTACATTACGGTGCAAAAATTAACGAAGTCAGACATAAACCACGCCTACTTCCCATATAACGCAATTTTAAATTTCATCTGATTCTTTCACTTTCCAGTGTACAAATCAAGAACCAATAGATGTATTCGGATATAACTTTGCACGAATAGTGCTTTTAAGATGTGCCACCTTATGACCAAAGCAGACTAAAACTATACAAGCCTCCAGATAACGGAATAAGAAAAGGATAAAATCGGTTGAAAGCTTGCTCCAGACCCCATATAATTAACATCAGGATTTTCAAACGTTTAGTTACCTTAATGAAACACAGAACGTCTGTAAATAATATGAAGTAATTCCAAAAATAGATAAAATCAATATACCCTTTTAGTGATTTCTGACTTCCCACCTGTCTTTAATCCGTTTAAGTTGGTCAAAATGTGAGATATTTTAGTGAAATTAAGTGGACAAAATTTAACCCCTTCGAATGAGATATGGGTTATTTATTTATTTTATTAATTTATATTATAAAACTAATTTAGTCTATGGCCTATAATATATGTAAATTAATAAGATACAAATTTGATTGCAATCCATTCACGATTTAATTCGAACAATAAATGTTAACTTCTTTCGCAACATTTTTTAAAACAAAAATTTGCCTACAACTACCAGGCTAGCCCTTAATTGCTAGTTTAATTAAAAGTTGTAAAAATTTTGCCTTTAATTTAGTGCTGCTGTACCAAAGTTGTATATATTTTAGTTCGCGTCAGCTAAAATTATATTAAAAACACCTTCAAAATCAATCCGTTTTTGACATTCAAACATACTATGATCAAAAAAAGCATCCTCTCGGAATTTCAATTATGGTAAATATCTCACATTTTTCTCGCTCTTACTACTCAAACTAGGGATCTAGGGCGAAAGACATTTTGGGTTCAGGTAAAAGCAAACAGCAACAGTATTCGTCGTCTGAATATGGGCTGCTTACAGCCGCAAAAGTATGAGTTGACTCGAATCTGTCTCTGTTGTATTGGGGTATGGTGGTTCCTGGTAAGTGGATACCTACAACAATTTCTTAAAAAGTAATAATGTCAGCAGCAGGGTGATCTTAAGATGTTCTGAAATTTCAAAAGATAGAATTGTTTGGATTTAAGGAATTTAGAGGCTTTATTCCAAAATATATTGGGAATAGTAAATAAGCCTAATTGCTAAAAGTTTTAAGAGTGAAGACTTCGCCCCCGCTTTTCAATAATTTATGTTTAAACTGTAGCTTTCAATTCATTGACTGTCTGGAAGAACAACTTGTGAGGGCAGAATCAACCAAACAATATATTTTTCTGAGTGGAAGTATAAATTTTCCGTCATTCATTCATATATCTGCAAAAAAGTTTGTGGTAGCTTCTGGGTTATTTCAGGTTCACAACATTCCTCTTACTCCAGTCAGTTTAATGAAATTGTAATGAAGTTTTCCTCAACAACGATGATTTCCATTAAATTATACTGAAAAAGGTGGCATTAAAGTACATTCATTTAGAGGTACCTTGTACTTTTAAGCCAAAAAAGAATATTATCAACAACTTTTAAATTTTTAACATTTTTATTAATAAATCCACAGGTTTATCGGACACCAAGCTCCATGAAGTCTATCTGGACAACTCCGAAATAAAACTGAGCTGGATGGTGGATTGGTATAAGCAGGAGGTGCTTTTTCATCTACAAAATGCCTTTAACGAAAATCATCGCTGGTTCTATTTGGGCTTTTCGAAGCGCGGCGATGTGGGCGATGCTGACATCTGTTTCTTTGAGAATCAAAATGGATTTTTCAACATTGTCACTGACACGTATACCAGTCCAGATGGTAAATTTGTGCAAAAAGACTATCAACAAGATTGCGAACTTTTCAAAATGGATGAATACACGTTGGCATTTAAGCGAAAATTCGACACCTGTGATCCGCTAGACTTGAGGATGCATGTAAGTGTTGCTGCTGTAAACATTATGTTTCTAATTATATGTAGTTGTGTGTGTGTTGTATAATGTTTGCAATTTATCTCATTTACTCAAATTCATGTTAAGTACCTTAATGAGTTTATAACATAATTATACAGCTGTGTTGAGAGTGTTTGTTCACAGTGATTCAAATTTTTTTATCGAAATAAAATTGAGAAAGTGTTAGGGATGTTGATTTGATGAGTGGAAAAGAAGAATGTGGCCTTGAATATGGTATATCAGGGTCAATTGTGGATTGATAGAAGTTTAACTTGCCGAAAAACAAGATCGTAATTGGAGAAATGTTAAGGAAACCTCGTGAGGCAGTTGCTTCTCTGCAATAGATGTTGATGCGACCACCAGCATATCATTCATGAGAACAGAGTAAGAAAAGGGGTTAAAAGCGTCAGGATGAATGACCTTCAGATTTTTCAGATTAATAATGTAGTAGTCTATAGGGGTTATATCAGAACAAAACAATCAAGCGGCCATTGTCTTACACTTTCTACCGTCTCCGACGATTTTTTCCGGGTGTACCCGGAACAAAACTTAATATATCCTATTCATGGTATAAAGTTATTGTGTAACAATTTAACATAATTCGATGAAACCGAATGTATTACAATCCAGTATAATATACTGTCTTATTATCTTATATATTTTATAAGTCATAGATTCACTAAGTTTCATTACTACATTTTGCTCCATGTCCATAATATTTACACTTGTTTTGAGCCACGGCTGGGATGGACTTCAGCGTATTCAGAAAATTTTGGTTTTGGTGGAGATAAACTTCGCATTAAGAAAAAAAAAACATATTTTCATTCGGTTTGCTTGAGCAGTATAAATAGGCCAGTCTGGATTAAATTTGATCAGACGATAAACTCTACCCAGCCCCTTTAGTTCAGTATAGATTAAAAAAAGACCTACAGTAGAATCGGTTCTGATTATATTAGAGATATGAGGTTTAGAGCAAGCTCTACACTAAATTCGTTCATATTCAGCGCTAAACCACATTATGGTTAAAAAAAACCCACTTAATTTTATTCAAATATCAGACATACTGACCAAAATAAACTGTTTACCTTCAGAGGGAAAATCAAAATGAATAGAAGACACTGTATCGGGTATATTGGATCTATGGGAATATCTAGACCGATCGTGAAAAACCTTTGACATTGCTCAATGTATAATCGTTTCCATAGAATTTTATGAATATAACTCACACACACTGACTGACATATTCGGCATTTAGTCTGCTATAATAACGAAAATCATATATTTTATATACCATATATGGTATATGCTAGTTGGTGTAGTTCGGGAACGGATTTCCTCTTTTTTCGCCATTAAACTATATTATATCCCATATGTATTCACTTAATTTTGCTCAGACATCTTACACATTGACCGATATGTACGGTATAAATCCAACCGAAAGTTTTGAGCACCACTTTTGGCACCAAGACATATTATTACCGGGAAAAGATGCTCCCTGAGTTTCAATCAAATACATATATGTTAAAAGTCAACCGGAAATTCGAAAATCATTACATATATTAGGTATATGGGGGCTAGGTTATTGACCCGGCTTTACCCATTTTATACACAAAAACACACCATAATATCGATAAGATTCTCTCCGAAATTCAGTAACATATCTGAGAGTTTTACTGATATATTCGGTAAAACATTACCTGGTTTCGACAATTTTTAGACGTGATATGGCACACAATTAAAGCATTATTTGTACTATTTCGACAATGGATCTCGATTTATTTACCATAATTTAAAGTGAAAGAACCATAAGGTATATAGAATTGTGACATATGGGAAGAGAGTATGGAGTAGAGTTGTCCGAATTCGCCCATTTTTATAATATAACAAACGAATTTGGAAATAATGTGACGCCCCAAATTTAGTTGAAGTAGAGTCGAGTAGATCCTGGTATATAGGATTTCACCTATAAGTGGGCAGTGCCACGTCAACTGCCCAATTTTGGCATCGGCTCCTTTAATATCGTTCAGTGTCATGTTGGTTACGGCATTTAATGTTTCTGACGTATTTATTCAGTGAGTTACCGCATAGTATTAGTAGTTTTCAACATAACCGTTATATTGAGAAATGGGCGGGGTTATCATACGATTTTACACTAAACTTATTAAGAGGCTGGGCAACGTTCACTTGGTAAACATTTTCACGGATTCCACTTCCTGCTACGATTCGCTGCACCAAATTAAGTATAGTGTTGTTGGCAGAGGTCCGTTTCTTCCCATTTGTCATATCAACTTTCGTATGGTGCCAATGCCATGTGTACGAAGTTTCATCAATGTATCTCAATTTTTACTTAAGTTATCAATGCACAGACGGGTAGACGAATGGACAGATAGTTATCCTGATTTCAGGTCGTCTGATCATTAATATACATATCTATTTCGATTAGTTTTAATGCAGTAGTCTGGTAACTTGCATTCTTGTTTTTGCTGTTTTGGGAATATTTTATTTGTAAAATATAAAATTCATATGTTTCATTTTGTAATATATTATTAATAGTATCTCAAAGTGCACTAAATATTATTTTTATCTTTTTTTCGAAATTTGTTGTGACTTGAGTGAGCGTCTCAAAAAAGTAGGTGGCTCATTCTGATGATTTGGTTGCTTGTGGACATCTGAAATAGAAGAATCAAAAAGATTATTAATATGAGAGCTTGTCATTCTAGTTGGAACTAGGATTAAACAATTTCGTTGAAAAATAAAAAAATTGCTGACTTTGGAAAAAAAGTTTTTTTAATAGAAATTGGGCTTTAAAATGGAAAAAAAGCGCTCAAAAAGATCCTACTTCCTGCGAGAGCTAATGATGAGTAGAATATCACATTAAAATTTTAGCCCAGTCAAACGTGTTTATAGTTTCAACAATTTATTAAATATGTTATGTAATAACAACGCGTAGGTGTTATAACTTCGTCAATATTTCGATTTGCATTCAAAAACTTTTACAGAGTATTCTTAATATATAGTACTTTCGAAAAAAAGAACTAGTTGATTTTTCCAAACCAACCTTAAGTGATACAAACAACCTTTTGTTGAATAAACCTATTATAATCTATAGCAACATATTGCGAGGGTTTAAAAACGAAAGACGCCAACATATCATAGTTTATTAAAGTCAGTCCTTTAATTTTGCTGTTTTGGACTTGCTGTTATTTAAACAGTTAAGAATTAGATCTTCCATATATCTAAAAAAAAAAGCTATCTCTCTGCATAATATATTGAGTTGGCAACTAAGTAATTGCGGATTTCACTCATAGATGCCTTCAGTTGAATTTTTAGGTTTGCTGGCGTAGTCCAAACGTAAAACATATTTTGTTATTTGATAGCCGGCAATTCAGCTTTCAATCAGTAAAAAAAGTTTTTTGATCGATTGCGTAGTTATCGCTTGGCGTTCGTTGAAAAATGGAGGATCAAAAGGAACATTCCTTGAATGGTAAAAATTTCAATAATGATGATGATGTCAAATCGTACCTAATTCAGTTTTTTGCTAATAAAAACCAGAAGTTTTATGAACGAGGGATTATGATGCTGCCTGAAAGATGGCAAAAGGTCAATGATCAAAATGAGCAATACATTACAGAATAAAGTTATTAGTTCTATGAAAAAATTGTCTTTGATTTTTTAAAAAAAATCCACAATTACTTAGTTGCCAACCCAATATATCGAATGGAGAGCTGCTTTACCAATATAGCTTAGGTATTATCAATTAGAGATTAATCCATTTAGAACTTAACTATTTTCGAATTTGATACTCAAAGTGCATATCATTCGCAGACGGCGTTAACCGTTTCGATTAGAAAAAAGGCTGGACAAACTTTGCCTCAATCCAATATCGAAGCTAACTATGCCGATCTGCAAATTTTAAGTATTGTTAAATCAATTTATCATATTAAAATCACAGGAGGGCACAATGTACATTATGTGGGCCAGGGGTGAAAGTCGTTTGGCACTGGAAGATTATCAGTTTCCCTTTCCGAATGTTTCCTCACATGAATCCGGCATTAAGATGATGCAGTTACTTCGCGCAGACAAAATTCTCATTCCCGAAACGTAAATATTTCTTGCCCACTTAAACCATAATACGGTAGATATCATGTTGTTTCATTTGCATTTTTCTTTAGCAATTTGAAAACCATTCAGGTCACACTCGAAAATGTGACCATACCAACAAAGGAGACAACATACTGGTGTCACATACAAAAACTGGACGAGTCATTTGCGACGAAACAGCATATAGTACAATTCGAGCCCATCATAACCTCTCCCGATTTGGTGCATCATTTGGAAGTTTTTCACTGCGAAACCGAACCACAAGTAGAAATTCCGTTGTACAATGGAGACTGTGTTAAAATGCCGGTAGAAGCGAAAGTGTGCTCCAAAGTCATATCTCTGTGGGCTATGGGCGCTAGCACGTTCACGTATCCACCAGAAACTGGCTTACCAGTTGGCGGCAAGGACTATAATCCATTCGTGCGGCTAGAAGTGCATTTTAACAATCCTGAATTGAAAGCAGGTAAATGCGTTGGAACGTGACTTTGTAATTTAAGTAATAGTTCCAGCTACCAAATAATATTATATTTAATTTGTATATAATAGGTCGCCTTGATAGCTCTGGCATGAGAATAAAGTTGGCATCGAAGCTAAGACAGTTCGATGCGGGCGTAATTGAATTGGGCTTAGAATACACCGATAAGATGGCCATTCCACCAGGTCAAGTGGGCTTCCCGCTAAGTGGTTATTGCATCGCCGAATGCACTGAAGTGGTGAGTTCTTATTATCGGTCACAATTTTAGAAATTATTTAAGAATCATTGTTACTTTTATAACTGTCTCACCACTTTGTATAGGCCCTCCCGTCCAGTGGCATTATCATATTTGGTTCTCAACTGCATACACATCTTCGTGGCGTTCGTATTCTGACACGACATTTTCGCGACAACGAGGAGCTACGCGAAGTCAATCGAGATGACTATTTCTCGCATCATTTTCAAGAAATGCGCAACCTGCATTATAAACCTCATGTGCTACCGGTAGGATGCTGATATTTCTAATTTTTAAACTGTCTAAATTTTAAGCATATGTTTTGTAGGGTGACGCTTTGGTCACAACTTGCTATTATAATACTCTGGGCTATGAAAATACAACACTGGGCGGTTTTTCAATCAGCGACGAGATGTGTGTGAATTATATTCATTATTATCCGGCTACCAAGTTGGAGGTTTGCAAGAGTTCTGTCTCTGAAGACACGTTGGAAAATTATTTTATTTATATGAAAAAGTAAGTAAAACGGTTTAAGAAGAATGACAGTTAATATATGACGTGAGTATCGCTTAATTGGGGGAGAATGTCGGTATTTATAAACATTTTGTTTTGAGGTATTTATACTTTGTAACCGCTCATTAGGTCTAATAACCCTCCGATAGGTTAAAAATGGGAAAAGCAATTTCACTACGACCCGTTCATGAACCCTTCTTCGGTCTACTTATCAAAAATTTCGACGTTATTCTACTATCATTGTCGAATCTTTTAAACAATTTGACCAGAGATTCCATTCTGGCCAATCTTAATTCTGGAATTTGGCTTCGGAGATCAAAAGACACTTCTTTACAAAGCCGCAAAAGGAGATCTTGAAAAGCTACGTTGTCTTTTCATCATCCTTGGGATAAATCAATTTTTACCGAGATCATTGAACCAATCGACAAATTCTCCTTTTCGATTAAAGGCTTGACCATACCAAATACTTGTACCCAATTTGTACTTTCTGAAGTCTTTTTGATCGTCATTTTTAAAAATAATATGATAGAAACTGGCAATATCTAACGAACTTTAGGATCCAAAAACCTCTCACTTTTTCCTTTAAACTTATACGAAATTCGAATTCCAAGAATACCTGACACAACTCAATTTTAACGGGTTCGTATATGCCAGGTTCTGACTATAGGGTGGATGCATAAGTATATCTTAACCAAGCTCTCGGAGCTTCTGGCGAGTCCGCATGGATGTGTGTTGCCTGACGTTATCCTGATAAAACAATATCTCTCCTATTATCCTAAGCTGGCCACTTGTGGGTGACTGCTTACTTCAGACGCTCCAATTGCTGACAGCACAGTTCCGAAGTTAGATTATAGACGTACGGAAGCAGCTCATTGTAGATGAGCTAACCATTCGATTACTAGACCTAATATTTAAACCACTGAGTGCCTTACTCAGAAACGTTTTCAATATTTGACTTATATTATATATGTATGTACTTTAGGAAAGAACATCAACGCGGCATAAAACTAAGTGGAGCACGTTCAAAGAATTATCGCAGCATCAAATGGACCGAACCACGTGTGGACCAACTTTATACCATGTACATCCAGGAACCACTCAGCATGCAGTGCAACAAATCGGATGGTTATCGCTTCGAGGGCTACAATTGGGAGGGAGCACCAGTGACACCAGTGGCAATCAAAATCCCCATGCATAGCAAACTATGTCCCAATTATAACCCGTTATGGTTGAAGCCACTGGAAAAGGGTGATTGCGATTTACTGGGCGAATGTATCTATTAAATCTTCAACACATTGCAGGCATAAAGATGTTCTACATAGTACATAGCTATAATATTTGAAAGTGAAATATTTTGTAGATGGAAATTTGAGAAAAATGAGAACTTTTAAATACAATGTGCAGTACAGCTGCCGCGCAAAAGCTTTATGGAGTAAACCAGAAATTTTAGACTAGATTGTATTACAACAAAAAGAAAAAAACATGAAGATCTTATGCATGTATGTAGATAGTCAAGAGTATAGAATATTTGAAGCGTAGTAGAGCGAGGCGTTAGGAATATGTATGTAAAGGGTTTTCCAATAAGAGTGATATATATTTTTTTTTAAGTATTATTTTCCTTTAATCAAGTCGTATGTCATGAATAGCACGTTCAATATTGACTTCCAAAGCTTGAAGAGTGTCTGATTTATTGCTAAAGACCAATGACTTCAAATACCTGCACAATAAGTAGTCCAATGGTTTTAAATCTCAATTTTTTGGGGCCATTCAATGTCACAATTTCTTGAAATTATCGAATCTCAAGCTTTTCTCGCAATAATTCGGTTGTTGCACGTGCTGTGTGGCACGTAGGCTCATCTTGTTGGAAATAGATGTTGTCAAGATCAACTTCTTTCAATTGCAGCCATAAAAAGTTGGTTACCATCGATCACTACTGCTCTCCATTGATATTAACGGTGCCACCAGCTTCATTTCGACAGAAGTATGGATCAATGATTCCACCAGATTCTTAGAAATCATATCATCCCTATAGGAAAACCCGATAGTTTCATCAGAGAAAATACATTTTATTGTAAATAAACGAGTAAAAAGATTTACGATCTTCAGCTCGTTTTGATGCAGAAGCAATAGAAGGCGTCTCAAATAAAATATTTTATAATTGTTACAAAAGATTTGAGTTTTACTAAATGAATGCGTTTACTGACAGCAGAATAAAACCTTCAGGAATTAAGCCAGATTTGCTGAATTTACGCTGAATATAAACAAACAAGTAATTGATTCTTAAGCACGCTTCCATAGAACGTTCCAAACATTAGATTCCAGCCAGTTGAACAAGGTGGCCATCAAAAATTATTTGGCATAGTTACATAAGTGCGAAAACCCGATGCACAAGAGAATTAAAAAAAACGTTAATACATACATACAAATATATATTTATGTACTTAAAATTGCAATTCATATTTACCGTTAATGTCATGCGGCAATTAGAAGTGCACTCAGTATTATTATGAAACCCAAAACTCATTGCATGTTAAATTTAAGTCATACCATGCACAAAACTAACTGTATATGTAGCCAAACAAAATCACCAATAACAAATACATATTTTATGTATTATACATACAATATACATGCATACATAGATATATATACACTTACATATACATGCACTAGGAACATAAATATTTTAGACGTATATAAGATGTGATAATAATAATGTATACCTAAATGCATAAAAATATATATATAATATACACATACATACAAACATTAAAGTGAAGTGAAATGTAAGTAAATAAACTACAATTTAGAAGTAAATGGATCACCATACCAGCAGCAACACATTTTGTTTTATTTCTGTCAAAAATCACTCGAAAGGTAACACAGCTCTAACATACAAAAAAAACTTTTATTGTCCTGGGTATCTTAGCAAATTTTGATGTTTTCAAATTTCCCGATTAAGAATTTATTCATGAAAGTATTGAATGTGCTCTTGTTTTTATGATTATCGGCTTGTTAACAATAAAATGTATTTCTCCAGTCATTATTAGTGTTCTGCGAACCTTTCTCGGGCATACAAAAATCACGTGATCCACCTCTCAGGTTTCTTAAGGAAAATATGCGGAAGGTTTTAATAAAATTCAAAATGGAGATAATCTAGAGTTGCAGTCTACAAAATGTCATGTTTTACTCAATAAAAAGTTCCCTTTGGATTTTAAAAGTCATTGGCATGCCCTCGGAAACATTTATGTCGCCAAACTTCTAGAAATCGGTACAGTCTACTAGTGGAAATGAATGGAAGGATAAACTTCTACGCCAAAGTTTTCTTCTCACAATACACTGAGTTATTTAATACGTGATCAAATTAGGAGGGATAAAGCAATTTGTCAAAGCGTTGCACATGAAGAGATATTGTTATAATTACATTTCTAGAAAATTTCCGATGCTTATTATGGAAAAGATAGTCCTCAAATACGGCAATTAATAAGAGATACAGATTTTATCAAAGTTATGACTGTTTTTGAAAGTGAACTTTTGAGAAACTTTGTGTTGATGCTCGAAAATTTCCTAGCTAAGACTTCAGCCGCAAATTATGAAGAAATTGTGCAAATTACGCTGAAAAACTTGCTGACTCTAAAATCGAATATGAGCATCTAGTTAGATATCGCCTAAAGCATCTGAATAACCTGTCGGATAATTAAAACCGCTGCAGCCATTTTTCTCCTCATTGCTGAGTAACTTCAGGAAAATATCACAATCCATAATTTATTTTATTTGAGGAGCTACAAAGATTCCACATTTTCGCCTCTGAAAGCTTTGGAAAAAATTCCTCAAATATTTGAAAGATGATCCCCTGATTCTTTCCGAATTCTCGGCACTGCAAACTTCATTGTTCTTTTTTCACCATGGTTCCAGCCTGCAATAAAACGTAACATATTTTAAACTAATTAACGTTTACAAAATAGTTAATAATTGTTATAGAAACAATTATATATGGTATATTCTAATTCAGTGCCAAACCACCAAATTGTAAAGAAAACTTGTCAATAAATTTCATTAAAATATCACATTTCGACCAACCTGAACAGTTTAAAGCCAGGTGGAAAGACGAAAGTCATTATATGGGGTATATTGGAGGCATATTTAACATAAAACTTGTTAGAAAAACGAAAATCAACATATGCAGTTAATTGGCAGTTGGGGCCCCATTTTATCTATGCCAATACTACATACTATTAACATGCCACAGACTAATAAAATGCTTCCAAGGCTTCATTAGGTATATGGGGGCTAAGGGAAGTACTAACCCGATTCAACCCATTTTTCACATACAGACATACTAGTACTTCAAACCTATTAATTACGGGATCTGATTCACTTTTAAAATCTATGAAACTATAAATGCTCCTCCATACTTCGATGTATTGAGTGTATGTTAATTTGTTTTCAATTAATAGTATTTTGTGGGCGTGGCGAAGGTCCAACTCCGCCTATAAGCAATACCAACCTCTCTTGAATGCCAAGGAACACATTTACCTAGTTTTATCAAAATATCTCAAGTTTAACTCAAGTTATCGCTTACGCGGACAGATGGACAGACATACAGTCACCCGGAATTCAAATAATTTTCTTATTATGATCATTTATATATACATAACTCTATATCTATCTCGATTAGTTTAAGATTTTACAAACAACCATACACATTCGGGGTATTAAAACTAGCCGTAACGCGTCATATGTTCTAGAATCTAAAGTGTTCATATTACGTACGTGCGAATCAAGTATTCTAACCCCATTGACCTCTTAACTACATATACATATGTATAATCCTCAACCTCAACAACTCCGGCAAATGAAACAAACTCCAACCCAGTGAACGAGAGAGGTCTCGGAGAAAATTTCTCCCGGGCCTGGAGTTCTCAGGAAGGCCCGTTGCTCTGCAACAACCTATAAAGGATGTATATCAATTAATTGATTGATCAAGGGGTCCGCATCCTATATCGTCCGCGTGTCCTGGTTTTCTCTCTCGGGCACCCAATCATGCTCGAATTTCAGAAAGTGAAATAAATAAACAATTACCGAGAGAATATTTCAAGTATATCGACGAATGAAGCAAACTCCAGCACCAACGCAATGTGTTTCATTCCCGAATTATAGATTTGGAAGGTTGCTAAGTAAATATTGGGAGGAAATAACATTTCAGCCCCAAGATTTGTAATCATGGTCTTAATTCGTTTGCCACTGCTGTGAATAGTTACAAATTAGGCAGATATCAAAGATCTCATATTGGAACTTTGCTTTAATATTGCCGATGTAATAAAGACCGAACATCAAAGCACATAATATATTAATTATTAATCTTTTTTATTTTGAAAATTACTTGTTTATACATTAAACAAGAATTTTTGTACTTATCAAAAATAAAAGCGCGAATTTTATTTCATCCCTTACGAATTGTTCCGATTTCATTCAGCTCTATCGATAAATTTAAATTCACTCAGTATTCCAGCACAGGGTGATCAATAGTTGCATGTGAGTTTATTAGAGAAAAATCATTTCTACTACCATTCAACGCTTGTGAAGTGATACCTTATTTACAAATTATAATCCAGATTTCTTATATTTTCATTTAAAAATTTTAACTCAGTCCGGTTATCACCAAAGCATTGGGAATGTTAAGGAATCAATCCTTGCAACCCTATTATCGGCCATATTCTTGTTTCTTTTTCGTTTCGTCTGGCATTTTCGAAGTTAATCTTCGAAGTCCATTGCGAAATTTCCATTTACCTGATTTGTGAAATTGTCAGCAGAGCATCAAAGATTCGGTAATTACGTGCGAAAATTTCATAGTTTAATTACATTTAAACATCGGAATATGTAAATTTATTGGACTATCGACATTCGACTTACGTGCAGTGCAAGTTTAAACTAACATTTTAGGTGGAATTTTGATCTTCTAATTGCAGACGACAACCAAGGTTTTGCGTGCGTGATACGACGTGGAATTTTTTAGTTCCTTTTAATTTTTTGGAAATTCTTTTCGCCAGTGAGGGCAGAATTCATGTAAAAAGTACCTGATACTGAGCACACAAGCGGGTTTTGTGGCCAATTTTGGCCGGAGGGATAACAGCAAACGCCGCGTGTACTGAATATACGGATCTTTGGGAATAGTAGGCGGCGACGGGGAACCGTATAGATAAGTAATTTAGGTATTGGCATTCGTACTATACGCGCAGATAGAGAAACTACGCAAGAGAAGAAATCAAAAGCAGACGTGAAAGTGACGAAGCATTAGAAGTACAACAAGACGTTACAAGAGGGGTCCAGGCTAAATTAGAAAAAGCAAACTTGAAAGTACTCAAGAAAAAGCGTCTAGTGTCGTTTTGTTTTTGTAAATCTTACAAACCAAGGCAGGCAGTATAAGCCTATTGTAAAAAACGT